CCGGGAGGATCCTGCCTCAAAGCTTAGTGGGGGCTGGAACCATGAGGGAGCTCCTGGGGACACCTGGAATCTGGGTGGGGGGGCTTCCAGGGTGGTCTGGAGGAGCCAGTGTGGTAACTGGAACTTGGTGGGCTCTTCCAGATCACTTTGGGCCACCTAGATTCCAAAATGTCACACCCTTGGAGGCCCCGAGTCCCCCAGACCCAAAATGTCCCATTGCCAGCCCCCCAATGTCCCATCCTTGGCACCCCCAGCCCCATCTCCAGCTACCCTGGACCCCCCCAAAATCCCCACACCACCCCTTCCCACGCCCCTTGTCCCCTCTTGGGGGGGTGTCCCCACCCAGGGTGTGTCACCCCCTGAGCCCCCGTTTGTCCCCCCAGACCTACTCGGGGCTGTTCTGTGTCACCGTGAACCCCTACAAGTGGCTCCCGGTCTACGACCCCCAAGTGGTGGCCGCCTACCGGGGCAAAAAGCGCAACGAGGTGCCGCCCCACATCTTCTCCATCTCCGACAACGCCTACCAGTACATGCTGACAGGTGGGACCCCAAAAAACCGGCCCGGGGACACCTGGGGCTCACCTGGGCTCAAGGGGACATCCAAGGCCTCCTGTGGTTCCTCCCAGTTTTGACCCATCTCAGCTGGGAGGATGAGGAACCCCAACATCTCCCTCACCTTGGTCCCACCTGGGAGGGTGGGGAACCCCAACATCTCCTTCACCTCTGTCCCACCTGGGAGGGTGGAGAACCCCAACATCTCCCTCACCTCGGTCCCACCTGGGAGGGTGGGGAACCCCAACATCTCCCTTACCTCGGTCCCACCTGGGAGGGTGGAGAACCCCAACATCTCCCTCACCTCGGTCCCACCTGGGAGGGTGGGGAACCCCAACATCTCCCTCACCTTGGTCCCACCTGGGAGGGTGGAGAACCCCAGCCACACCTCAAGACCACCCAGTTTCTCCCCCAACCTCCCCTGGTACTCACCTGGGAGGCTGGAGACCCCCAAGACCCTCAAATATCTCCCGTCACCTTCATCCTCACCTGAGGGGGTTGGAGAACCCCAGACCCCAAACTTCTCCCGAACTTTGTCCCACCTGACCTGCTCCTCACCTGGGGGGTTTGGAGAACCCCAAACCCCAGACCCTCAACATCTCCCCATCCTCATCCCACCTGACCTGCTCCTCACCTGCGGAGGGCTAAAGACCCCCCAGACCCCTCCTCACCCCCTGACCCCTCTCTCCTTCCACAGACCGTGAGAACCAATCCATCCTCATCACGTGAGTCCCCAACCCTTACGCTGCCCCACAGGTGTGGGGTGGGCCCAGGTGCCCCCCATGACCCCTCAGTGACCCCCTGGTGACCCCCTTGCCCCCACAGCGGCGAATCGGGGGCGGGGAAAACGGTGAACACCAAACGTGTCATCCAATACTTCGCCAGCATCGCCGCCATTGGCGACCGCAAGAAGGAGGCGGCCAATAGCAGCAAGGTAGGGTGGGACCCGGCCACGCCCCCCGGGGTGGGGAGGGTCCCCTGGGTGTGTCCCCACCTGCGGTGTCACCCCCACCCCAGGGCACCCTGGAGGATCAAATCATCCAGGCCAACCCCGCGCTCGAGGCCTTCGGCAACGCCAAGACCGTGCGCAACGACAACTCCTCGCGATTCGTGAGTGGGGCGGGGCCTGTGGGGCGGGGCCTGTGGGGCGGGGCCTGGGGCTGTGGTTCACACCGATGGGGTGGGGTCTGTGGGTGGGTTCCATGGGGCAGGGTCTGTGGGGGAGGGCCCAGTGGGTGGGACCTGTGGGACAGGTCCTATGGGGGGGAATCTGTGGGGTGGGGCACATAGATGGGGTGGGGTCTGTGGGTGGGGCCGATGGGGTAGGGTCTATGGGTGGGGTCTCTGGGGTCTGGTCCATGGGCCAAGGCCTATGGGCCTTCGCAACCCTCTCCCACCACCCTTCCAGGGGAAATTCATCCGGATCCACTTCGGGGCCACCGGGAAGTTGGCGTCGGCTGACATCGAGACCTGTGAGTGGCCACAGGCTGGTGGGAGCGGGGCTTGGCCACTGTCCGACCTGTGTCCATGTGTCCAGAGCCCTCCTCGTCCCTCTGTCCACTTCCTCATCCTTCCATCTCTTCACGTCTCCATCCAGCCCTCCTGCCCTCCAACTGTCTGTCTGTCTTCCTGGTTGGTGGATCCATGAGTTGTCCATCCCTCCATCCATCTCCTCATCCCTCCATTCCTCATGTCTCCCTCCCTCCCCATGTCCACCCTTTGTCCATGGCTGGCAGATCCATGAGCTCTTGTCCATCCCTCCATCTCCTCATCCCACCATTCCCATCTCCCCATCCATCATCCATCCATCCATCCATCCATCCATCCATCCATCCATCCATCCATCCATCCATCCATCCATCCATCCATCCATCCATCCATCCATCCATCCATCCATCCATCCATCCATCCATCCATCCATCCATCCATTATCCATCCATCCATCCATCCATCCATCCATCCATCCATCCATCCATCCACATGTCCATCCCTCTCCATAGTCGATAGATCCAATGAGCAGGTGTCCTGCCCTGTTGTCCATCCCTCCATTTCCTCGTCCCACCATTCCCATCTCCTCATCCATCCATCCATGGATCCATCCATGGATCCATCCATGGATCCATCCATCCATCATCCATCCACATGTTCATCCCTCCATCCCTCTCCATGGTTGATAGATCCAATGAGCTGGTGTCCTGTCCTGCTGTCCTTCTCCTCGTCCCACCAGCCATCTGACCCTCCATCTCCTCACCTTTCCATCTCCTCATGTCTCCATCCAACTTGTCATTTATCCATCCATCTCTTCACCCATCCACATGTTCATGCTTCCACCCATCTCTCCATGCCTCCATCCCTCTCCTCATCCCACCATTCCCTCTCCATCCCTCTCCTCATCCCACCTTCTCCCCATCCACCCTCCCAGACCTCCTGGAGAAGTCCCGTGTCATCTTCCAGCTGAAGGCGGAGCGGAATTACCACATCTTCTACCAGATCCTCTCCAACAAGAAGCCAGAGCTGCTGGGTGAGCTGGGCCACCACCGTGGCCTTGGGGCTTCTCCTTCCCCCCTCCTCCCAAAATTTGGGGTGGTTTGGGGAGACTGGGAATGCTCAGTGCTGCCTCCATCCCACACCAGAGATGCTGCTGGTCACCTCCAACCCCTACGACTACGGTTACGTGTCCCAGGGCGAGGTGACCGTGGCTTCCATCGACGACGCCGAGGAGCTGTTGGCAACCGACGTGAGTGGGGAGAGGTGGAGGGAGGGATGAGTCAATGGATGGATGGACGGATGGATGGATGGATGGATGGGTGGATGAGTCCATGGATGGATGGATCCATGGATATACAGCTCCTCAAAATCTGCCCTGAGCCCATGGATTGATGGATTAAGTCCTCAAATGGATTGATGGAAGAATCTATGGACAGGGGAGTCCATGGATGGATGGATGCTTCCATGGATCAATGAGTCCTTAGAAGGAGGGATGGATGGATGGTTGGATGGATGGATGGATGGATGGATGGATGGATGGATGGATGAATGGGCAGAAGAATGGATAGATGTCTGGATGGATGAGTCCACAGATGGATGGATCCAGGATAAATGAGTCCTGAGGTGGACAAATGAACCCAGGGATGAATGAACAAGTCCATGCACAAGTCTTTCAAGTGGACAAGCCCATGGCTGGACATGTCCTCATTAACTGGTCAGGCTAATGAGTGGGAAGGACAGTGGGAGGTACCCTCAGGTGGTGACCGTCACAGGTGGTGGCCATCACAGGTGGTGACCAGCAGAGGCCAGGCCCTCACCTGGCCCCTCCCTCCCCTCCTCCACCCCTCCCAGAGCGCCTTTGACGTCCTGGGCTTCACGGCCGAGGAGAAGGCCGGCGTCTACAAGCTGACAGGAGCCATCATGCACTTTGGCAACATGAAGTTCAAGCAGAAGCATGGATGGATGGATGGATGGATGGATGGATGGATGAATGGGTCCTCAGATGGATCCATGAATAGATAGGTCCTCAGAAGAATGGATGGGTCTCTGGATGGATGAATCCACAGATGGATGGATCCAGGATAAATGAGTCCTGAGGTGGACAAATGAACCCAGGGATGAATGAACAAGTCCATGCACAAGTCTTTCAAGTGGACAAGCCCATGGCTGGACATGTCCTCATTAACTGGTCAGGCTAATGAGTGGGAAGGACAGTGGGAGGTACCCTCAGGTGGTGACCGTCACAGGTGGTGGCCATCACAGGTGGTGACCAGCAGAGGCCAGGCCCTCACCTGGCCCCTCCCTCCCCTCCTCCACCCCTCCCAGAGCGCCTTTGACGTCCTGGGCTTCACGGCTGAGGAGAAGGCTGGTGTCTACAAGCTGACAGGTGCCATCATGCACTTTGGCAACATGAAGTTCAAGCAGAAGCAGCGGGAGGAGCAGGCGGAGCCAGACGGCACCGAAGGCGGGTCGGGGCGAGGGGTTGATGGGTCAGGGAGGGGTCAACAGGTGAGGTGGCACCTGACCAGGTGTCTCCTGCTCCACAGATGCCGACAAGTCCGCCTACCTGATGGGGCTGAACTCGGCCGACCTGCTCAAGGGCTTGTGTCACCCACGTGTCAAGGTGGGCAACGAGTACGTCACCAAGGGGCAGAGCGTCCAGCAGGTCTACTATTCCATCGGGGCCTTGGCCAAGGCTGTCTATGAGAAGATGTTCAACTGGATGGTGGTGAGGATCAACAACTCGCTGGACACCAAGCAGCCGCGGCAGTACTTCATCGGCGTCCTGGACATCGCTGGCTTTGAGATCTTTGATGTGAGGCTCGAGGCGGGGCAGTGGCGTTGGGCCTTGGAGGGATGGCATTGAGCCAGCTGGGCGTTGAGGGGGTCTCCTGCAGCTTCATGGTGACCTTGGGTGGGAATTTGGGTCTTTGTGTTGATGTCCTTGAGTGTCGCATTGACCTCATTGATCCCATTGGACATTGACTCCTTTAGGTGTTGAATTGACCCTCTTGACCCCACTGGGTGTTGTTTTGAACCCTTTGGGTCTCAGGCTGACACCGTTGATCTCATTGGATGTTCTGCTGACCCTACAGGGTGTTGAGTTGTCCCTGTTGACTCCCACTGGGTATCACTTTAACCCTGTTGGATGTTGCGTTGACCCCATGGATGCCATTCAACATTGTCTTCATCCCATTGGGTGTCAGATTGACCCTGTCCATCCCATTGGGCATCACTGTGACCCCACTGGCTGTTCAGCTGGCCTTGTTGACACTATTGAGCCCTGAGTGTTGAGTTGACCCCATTCACTCAGTCGGCCCTGTTGGGTGTTGAGTTTGCCCTGTTGGTGTTGAGTTGACCCCATGGACTCCATCACCCGTCTCTCCCTCTCTCTCCCTCTCCTCCCCCAGTTCAACAGCTTCGAGCAGCTCTGCATCAACTTCACCAACGAGAAGCTGCAGCAGTTCTTCAACCACCACATGTTCGTGCTGGAGCAGGAGGAGTACAAGAAGGAGGGCATCGAGTGGGAGTTCATCGACTTTGGCATGGACCTGCAGGCCTGCATCGACCTCATCGAGAAGGTGCCACCTCCCCCAGGACCTCCAGGGGCTGAGGGAGGGGGGTCCATCCAGTCGGAGCCCCTCAGGTGCCCCAGGAGCGGCTTTTGGGTTGTCCCTCCTGGCCAACAAGGTGTGCTTGCCCACAGCCCATGGGGATCATGTCCATCCTGGAGGAGGAGTGCATGTTCCCCAAGGCCTCGGATATGACCTTCAAGTCCAAACTCTACGACAACCACCTGGGCAAGTCGGCCAACTTCGGGAAGCCACGAAACGTCAAGGGCAAGTCCGAGGCCCACTTCTCGCTCACCCACTACGCCGGCACCGTGGACTACAACATCCTGGGCTGGCTGGAGAAGAACAAGGACCCCCTCAACGAGACGGTGGTGGGGCTCTACCAGAAATCTGCCCTCAAGCTCTTGGCCCATCTCTTCTCCAACTATGCCGGGGCAGACTCTGGTGGGTGATGGAGGAGTGAAGAAGACAGCTCCCACAGGAGTTGTCCTTGTTCCTACCTCATCCCACCGCTCCTCCGCAGGCGGTGACAGCGGGAAGGGGAAAGGAGCCAAGAAGAAAGGTTCCTCCTTCCAGACGGTCTCAGCCCTGCACCGGGTGAGGAACATGCACTGGATCTGCTGCGGGGCAGGGGGAGAACAGCCCCTGGTGTAGAGGGTGGTCCCACCACCCCCCAGCCCCTCCCCTGCTCTGCCACTGGTCACCCTCCCCTCTTGTCTCCAGGAGAATCTCAACAAGCTGATGGCCAACCTCAAGACCACCCACCCCCACTTCGTCCGCTGCCTTGTCCCGAACGAGCGGAAGGAGCCGGGTGAGCTGAGGGTGAGGATGGGAGGTTGGGGCGTGGGCGTGGCTCATGGTTGACCCCTCACCTGTCTCCCCTCCAGGTGTGATGGACAACGCCCTGGTCATGCACCAGCTCCGCTGCAACGGGGTCCTGGAGGGAATCCGCATCTGCCGCAAGGGCTTCCCCAACCGCATCCTCTACGGGGACTTCCGCCAGCGGTGGGGACACCAAACGGGTTTGGGGAGGGGGGACGACCCCACTGGGGCTGAACTCAGGGGTCATGTCCTCTCTGGCCCCCAGGTACCGCATCCTGAACCCTGCGGCCATCCCCGAGGGGCAGTTCATCGACAGCCGTAAGGGCGCCGAGAAGCTCCTGGGCTCCATCGACATCGACCACAACCAGTACAAGTTTGGGCACACCAAGGTGAGGTCATGTGGTCCCTGTGGTCCCACCATCCCTCAGGTGTGGTGGACCCCATGGTCCTGCCATTCACGTGTCCATCTGTCCCTCCCTGTGTCCGTCTGCTCCTTCTGGACCCCTACCCCATCCTTCCACCCACCACAACCAGTTTGATCCCACTGGGTGAGATCTTGTGGTCCCTGTTCCCTGTGGTGCCACCATCCGAGGTGAACATGGACCTCGTGGTCCCATGATCCCCGTGTCCATCTGTCCATCAACATGTCTATCTGTCCATCTACCCAGACACCACCCCATCCTTCCACCCACCACAATCCCTTTGGACACACTGTGGGGAGATCCTGGTCTCTGTTCCTCGTGGTCTCACCATCCGAGGTGGACACGGACCTCATGGTCGCACCACCTTCTCCCCACCTCCTCCCTCCCCTCAGGTGTTCTTCAAGGCAGGGCTCCTGGGCCAGCTGGAGGAAATGCGGGACGAGCGCTTGTCCCGCATCATCACGCGCATCCAGGCGCGGGCGCGGGGGCAGCTCATGCGCATCGAGTTCAAGAAGATCGTGGAGCGCCGGTGAGACAGGGGTGGGCCTTCTGCTCACCTGGTTGCCTGGCTGGGGATGTGGTGGCACCTGTGTCCTCCTCCTCGCAGGGACGCGCTGCTGGTGATCCAGTGGAACCTCCGGGCCTTCATGGGGGTGAAGAACTGGCCGTGGATGAAGCTCTACTTCAAGATCAAACCCTTGCTGAAGAGCGCGGAGACAGAGAAGGAGATGCAGGTGGGAAGGGCGGGCAGGAGAGGTGGGACCACTGATGGTCTGGGGGGTGTTGGATGAGGGTCTTTGACCCACTCGAGGTCTCCTGGGGCAGAACATGAAGGAGGAGTACGGGCGGCTGAAGGACGCCCTGGAGAAGTCGGAATCACGGCGGAAAGAGCTGGAGGAGAAGATGGTCTCCATGCTGCAGGAGAAGAACGACCTCCAGCTCCAAGTGCAGGCTGTGAGTCTGATCACCCCAAAACCACGTCACAGGTGTGACCACCACCCCCACCACACCTTGGGGCAATCCTGCTTCACTTGCCACCTCCCCCCCAACAGGAGCAGGACAACCTGAACGACGCCGAGGAGCGCTGTGACCAGCTGATCAAGAACAAGATCCAGCTGGAGGCCAAGGTGAAGGAGCTAACAGAACGGCTGGAGGATGAGGAGGAGATGAACGCCGAGCTGACAGCCAAGAAGAGGAAGCTGGAGGATGAGTGCTCGGAGCTGAAGAAGGACATTGATGACCTGGAGCTGACCCTGGCCAAGGTGGAGAAGGAGAAACATGCAACTGAGAACAAGGTGAGGATGGGGAGAGGCCTTGGCCTCAAAGTGAGGGGATTTGAGTCTGAGACATAAAACCGGTTGGGTTAGGTTGAGATGATCAAGGATGGTTGAGGTGAGTTGAGAAGACATGAGGTATTGGTTGGAGTTGAGGAGACCCAAGGCTGGGTGGGATCTGTTAGCTTGGGTTGAGGAGACTCAAGGCAGGTTGGGAAGATGTTGGTTGTGTTGGCTCATTGAGAAGACCTAAAGTCCTTTGGGTTCTCCTGCATTGAAACAACCTCTTTGGCTGAGGTGAGCATCAACCTCCCCCAACTCTGCCCCACCCCGGCACTGAGCTGGAGGCTGGACACTTCTCCCACAGGTCAAAAACTTGACGGAGGAGATGGCGGGGCTGGACGAGACCATCGCCAAGCTGACCAAGGAGAAGAAGGCTCTGCAGGAGTCCCACCAGCAGACGCTGGATGACCTGCAGGCTGAGGAAGACAAGGTCAACACCTTGACTAAGGGCAAAGTCAAGCTGGAACAGCAAGTGGATGATGTGAGTGTGGCTGGTCCCACCCCAGATCCTGCTGAGGAACTTCTGGGGCAAAGATGGGCAAAACTTGAGGTTTCTCCCCATTCCTGTGCTCCTGCACAGCTTGAAGGCTCCCTGGAGCAGGAGAAGAAGATCCGGATGGACCTGGAACGGGCCAAGAGAAAACTGGAAGGTGACCTGAAGCTGACCCAGGAGAACATAATGGATCTGGAGAATGACAAGCAGCAGCTGGAGGAGAAGCTCAAGAAGTGAGGCTGGATCCCCCTGCCATGTGAGGTCCAGTTGAGGGTCACAGGTGAGGCCTCACTTGCCCCCACCTTCCACAGGAAGGAGTTTGAGATCCACCAGCAGAACAGCAGGATCGAGGACGAGCAGGCGCTGGCTCTGCAGCTCCAGAAGAAGCTGAAGGAGCTACAGGTGGGGAGGAAGATGGTTGGGTTGGACTGGAGACTCTCCAGGTGGTTGGGTTGAGTTGAAGAGTAACTTGATGGTTGAGTTGGAGAGTCTCAAGGTAGCTGGGCTGAGTAGAAGAGGCTCCACTTGGTTGGGCTGGTGTAGGTTGGGTTGAAGAGTCCCTGGCTGGTTGGGCTGGGCTGAGTCTCCAGCAGATTGGGTTGACCTGAACAGTCTCCGGTTGTTGAGTTGGGTTGAGTGGAAGGGTTGGGTGGATCCCATCCTGCCTCTCACCTCCCTCCTGGTGCACAGGCGCGGATCGAGGAGCTGGAGGAGGAGCTGGAGGCGGAGCGGACGGGCCGGGCCAAGGTGGAGAAGCAGCGCTCGGAGCTGTCGCGGGAGCTGGAGGAGCTCAGCGAGCGGCTGGAGGAGGCCGGCGGTGCCACCTCAGCGCAGCTGGAGCTCAACAAGAAGCGGGAGGCGGAATTCCAGAAGCTGCGGCGGGACCTGGAGGAGGCCACGCTGCAGCACGAGGCCACGGCGGCTGCGCTGAGGAAGAAACACGCCGACAGCGTGGCCGAGCTGGGCGAGCAGCTGGACAACCTCCAGCGCGTCAAGCAGAAGCTGGAGAAGGAGAAGAGCGAGCTCAAGCTGGAGCTGGATGACCTCAGCGCCAACGTGGAGCAGCTGATCAAATCTAAGGTAGGAAGAGATTGAGATGGGCAGCAGGGAATCATGGGATGGTTTGTGTGGGACAGGACCACAGGGATCATCCAGTTCCATCAACCCTTAGGGAGGGACACCTTCCACTAGACCAGGCTAGGTTGGGTTAACTTGGGCTGAAGAATCTCCAACTGATTGAGTTGGGTTGAGTGTACACCTTGTTGGGTTGAGGCAGGTGAGCTGTCGCGGCAGCTGGAGGAGAAGGAGGCGCTGGTGTCCCAGCTGACCCGTGGGAAGGTGTCCTACACCCAGCAGCTGGAGGACCTGCGGAGGCAGCTGGAGGAGGAGATGAAGGTGGGATCCAGTAGGGGCTGAGAAGACCTGGGGGGGTCAAAGTGGGTCACAGGTGTCCTTCACCCCTGTGGTCACTGGTTCAGGATGGTTGGGTTGGGTGGGTCCATCTACAGGCAGTTCCACCATAGAAGGTCCAGGGTGGGCTGAGTTGGTCTGGAGGGGTCTGAGTTGATCTATGTAATGTCCAAGGAAGTTTGGATTGGCCTGGAGTAGGTTGGGTTAGCCTATGGAAGGTCTGATTGCATTGAGATGATGAAGACCAGCTCCTGCTGAGCTGGAGATCCCAAGAAGTTCAAGCTGACCTGGATCCAATGGTACCACCTTCTCCTGAAGGTGTAAGGAATGTTGGGTTGATCTGGAAGAGGATGGGTTGGTCTGCAGAAGGTCTGAGGAAGGGTCTGGTCTAAATAGGGTCCAAGGAAAGCTGGGTTGGGTTGGGTTGGTCTGGAGAAGGTTGGGTTGATCTACAGAAGGTCTGGTTGGGTTGTGGTGATGAAGACCAGCTCTCGCTGAGCCAGAGAAACCCAAGAGGACTCCAGGTGACTTGGACCCCACGATGCCACCTTTTCCTCACCAGGCCAAGAACGCGCTGGCACACGCGCTGCAGTCGGCCCGGCACGATGGGGACCTGCTGCGGGAGCAGTACGAGGAGGAGACCGAGGCCAAGGCCGAGCTCCAGCGCTCGCTCTCCAAGGCAAACTCCGAGGTGGCCCAGTGGAGGACCAAGTATGAGACGGATGCCATCCAACGCACCGAGGAGCTGGAGGAGGCCAAGTGAGTCATCGCCCCATGGCTGGAGCTTCTGTGGGGTCAGGGGTGGAAATCATCCTTGGGAGAATGTTCTGAAGAAGGTTTTTGGAGGAGGCCAAGTGAGCCATTGCCCCATGGGTGGAGCTTCTGTGGGGTCAGGGGTGGAAATCATCCTTGGGAGAATGTTCTGAAGAAGGTTTTTGGAGGAGGCCAAGTGAGCCATTGCCCCATGGGTGGAGCTTCTGTGGGGTCAGGGGTGGAAATCATCCTTGGGAGAATGTTCTGAAGAAGGTTTTTGGAGGAGGCCAAGTGAGCCATTGCCCCATGGGTGGAGCTTCTGTGGGGTCAGGGGTGGAAATCATCCTTGGGAGAATGTTCTGAAGAAGGTTTTTGGAGGAGGCCAAGTGAGCCATTGCCCCATGGGTGGAGCTTCTGTGGGGTCAGGGGTGGAAATCATCCTTGGGAGAATGTTCTGAAGAAGGTTTTTGGAGGAGGCCAAGTGAGCCATTGCCCCATGGGTGGAGCTTCTGTGGGGTCAGGGGTGGAAATCATCCTTGGGAGAATGTTCTGAAGAAGGTTTTTGGAGGAGGCCAAGTGAGCCATTGCCCCATGGGTGGAGCTTCTGTGGGGTCAGGGGTGGAAATCATCCTTGGGAGAATGTTCTGAAGAAGGTTTTTGGAGGAGGCCAAGTGAGCCATTGCCCCATGGCTGGAGCTTCCGTGGGGTCAGGGGTGGAGACCATCCACTGGAGAAGGTTTCGGGGGTTTTAGAGGTTAAGTCACTTCGTCATGGGTGGACCTCCTGTGGGGTCAGAGGGGTGGAGACCACCCACTGGAGAAGGTTCTGGAGGAGGCCAAGTGAGTCTTGCCCCATAGATGGAGATTCTGTGGGGCTGGGGAGGTGGAAACCACTGGAAAAGGTTCTGGAAAAGGTTTTAGAGGTTGAGTCACCTCCCTATGGATGTAGCTCCTGTGGGGTCAGGGTGGCGAGAAGTTCCTGAAGAAGGTTCTGGAGGAGGTAGAGTGACCTGGAGATGGTAGAGGAGATGCAGAGAAGAACCTTGGCCAGTGGCTGGGTGGGAGAAGGTTCAAATGGCCCCACCTGGCCCACGGGTGACCCCAGCTGGTCCCTGGGGCAGGAAGAAGCTGGCGCAGCGGCTGCAGGAGGCCGAGGAGGCCGTGGAGGCCGTCAACGCCAAATGCTCCTCTCTGGAGAAGACCAAGCACCGGCTGCAGAACGAGATCGAGGACCTGATGGCCGATGTGGAGCGGTCGAACGCGGCTGCTGCTGCCCTGGACAAGAAGCAGAGGAACTTTGACAAGGTGGGCAGGTGTGGCAGGTTGGGGGCGGCTGGGTGGGGTCAGGTGGCTGTGGGGTGACACCTGGCTGTCCCCAGGTGTTGGCCGAGTGGAAGCAGAAGTATGAGGAGTCGCAGACGGAGCTGGAGGCATCACAGAAGGAGGCCAGGGCCCTCAGCACTGACCTCTTCAAGCTGAGGAACATCTACGAGGAGTCCCTCGAGCACCTGGAGACCTTCAAGAGGGAGAACAAGAATCTCCAAGGTGACACCACAGGTCCCTCTGCCCACCTGGGCGTTCCCCGTCCATTCCCATGGGGTCTGACGGGGTCTCACCTGGGCAGAGGAGATCTCGGACCTCACGGAGCAGCTCGGCGCTGGCAATAAATCCATCCACGAGCTGGAGAAGGTCCGGAAACAGCTGGATGCCGAGAAGCTGGAGCTCCAAGCTGCTCTGGAAGAGGCTGAGGTGGTTTAAGCCCTGTCCCACCTGATCCCTGCGTTCTCCTGGTGGGACGTCCATCCTCTGTGGTGCTCAAGGTCCTCTCTGTCCTCCCCAGGCCTCCCTGGAGCATGAGGAGGGGAAGATCCTGAGGGCGCAGCTGGAGTTCAACCAGGTGAAGGCGGAGTACGAGCGGAAGCTGGGGGAGAAGGAGGAGGAGATGGAGCAGGTGAAGCGAAACCACCTGCGTGTGGTGGAGTCGCTCCAGACCTCGCTGGACGCCGAGACCCGGAGCCGCAACGAGGCCCTGAGGTTGAAGAAGAAGATGGAGGGAGACCTCAACGAGATGGAGATCCAGCTCAGCCACGCCAACCGCGGCGCCAACGAGGCCCAGAAGCAGGTCAAGGCTCTGCAGGGCTACCTGAAGGTACCTGTCCATGTGGCGTGGAGAGGTAGGAGGTGCCTAAAGGTTCCATGGGGACATGGAGGTGCAGGAGGTACCTGAGGGTTCCACAAGGACATGAAGGTGCAGGAGGTACCTGAAGGTTCCACGGGGACATGGAGGTGTAGGAGGTACCTGAAGGTACCTGTCCATGTGGTGTGGAGGTGTAGGAGGTACCTGAAGGTTCCACAGGGACATGGAGGCGCAGGAGGTACCTGAAGGTACCTGTCCATGTGGCGTGGAGAGGCAGGAGGTACCTGAAGGTTCCACAGGGACATGGAGGCGCAGGAGGTACCTGAAGGTTCCACAGGGACATGGAGGTGCAGGAGGTACCTGAAGGTTCCACAGGGACATGAAGGTGTAGGAGGTACCTGAAGGTACCTGTCCATGTGGTGTGGAGAGGTAGGAGATGGCTGAAGGTTCCACAGGGACATGGAGGTGCAGGAGGTACCTGAAGGTACCTGTCCAACAGGATATGGAGGTCCCACCTCAAGGTATCACAGGGACATTGGGGTGTAGGAGGTACCTGAAGGTATCTGTCCACAGGGACATTGAGGTATAAGATGTACCTCAAAGTAACAGAGGAATATTGGGGTATAGGAAGTACCAGAAGAAACCTGTCCATGGGGACCTTGGGGTGTTGGAAGTCCCACCACCCAACAGGGGTGGTTCCTTCCCTCCTCACCAGCCCATCGTTGGGTGGACTCACCCCCCAGCTCCCCACCCCATGTCCGGGTGGACCCACCACCCCTTCCCACCACCCCCCAGGACACACAGCTGCAGCTGGATGATGCGGCAAGGGTCGGGGAGGACCTGAAGGAGAACGTGGCCATGGTGGAGCGCAGGAACACCCTGCTGCAGTCAGAGCTGGAGGAGCTCCGGGGCCTGGTGGAACAGACCGAGAGGGCCCGGAAACTGGCTGAGCAGGAGCTGATCGAGGCCAGCGAGAGGGTCCAGCTTCTCCACTCACAGGTGAGACCTCACCTGCCTGCCAGGAGAGGAGGCACCTCCATCCAGGGATGCTCCAGCCCAGGAGAAACACCTCTGATTGCTTGGCTGGGGAGCTCAAGGTGGCTCAGGGTGGTACAGACCCAACGTCCTCCCCTCCTCCTGAAAGGTTGGTCTGGAGGAGGTTGGGTTGGTCTAAAGAAGGTCCAAGGAGGGTTGGGTTTGGTTGGAGGAGGTTGAGTTGGTCTACGGAAGGTCTGGTTGGATTGGGGTGATGAAGACCAACTCTCACTGAGCTGGAGACCTCCAAGATGTCTCCAGTTAACCTTAACCCAAGAGTGCCACCTTCTCCTGAAGGTCTCAGGAGGGTTGGGTTGATCTGGAAGAGGTTGGCTTTATCCATTGAAGGTCCAAGGAACATTTGGTTGGTGTACAGAAGGGTGGTGTTAATTTCTGTGTTGTGCCACCAAGATCTCCAGAAGATCCTTCAACCTGCAGAGATAAGCAGGGGTCTGAAGGACAGGGCAGCACCCCAGGGAAAACTCCTGAGGCCCCATCCTGTCCCCCCAGAACACCAGCCTCATCAACCAGAAGAAGAAGATGGAGGCTGACATCTCCCAGCTGCAGACAGAGGTGGAAGAGGCCGTCCAGGAGTGCCGGAATGCCGAGGAGAAGGCCAAGAAGGCCATCACTGACGTGAGTGTCGCGGCGGGGCCATCACCGTGGCCACCACGGAGAACGTGCCATGGACCCCCTGCTTGTCCCCCCGCGGGCAGGCAGCCATGATGGCAGAGGAGCTGAAGAAGGAGCAGGACACGAGCGCGCACCTGGAGCGGATGAAGAAGAACATGGAGCAGACCATCAAGGACCTGCAGCTGCGGCTGGACGAGGCCGAGCAGCTGGCGCTCAAGGGCGGCAAGAAGCAGCTGCAGAAGCTGGAGGGGCGCGTGCGGGAGCTGGAGAACGAGCTGGAGGCCGAGCAGAAGCGCAACGCCGAGAGCGTCAAGGGGCTGCGCAAGTCCGAGCGGCGCGTCAAGGAGCTCAGCTACCAGGTGAGACCACGGCGGTGAGACTCAGGTACCAGGTGAGACCACGGGGGTGAGACTCAGCTACCAGGTGAGACCACGGCGGTGAGACCATGGAGGTGAGACCATGGAGGTGAGACCATGGCGGTGAGATCATGGGGGGTGGGTCAAGGAGCTCAGCTACCAGGTGAGACCATGGCGGTGAGACTCAGGTACCAGGTGAGACCATGGAGGTGAGACCATGGAGGTGAGACCATGGAGGTGGGTCAAGGAGCTCAGCTACCAGGTGAGACTATGGAGGTGAGACCATGGAGGTGAGATCATGGGGGTGGGTCAAGGAGCTCAGCTACCAGGTGAGACCATAAAGGTGAGACCACAGCGGTGAGACTCAGGTACCAGGTGAGACCATGGAGGTGAGACCATGGGGGTGGGTCAAGGAGCTCAGCTACCAGGTGAGACCATGGGGGTGAGACCATGGAGGTGAGACCACAGAGGTGAGATCATGGGGGGTGGGTCAAGGAGCTCAGCTACCAGATGAGACCATAAAGGTGAGACTCAGGTACCAGGTGAGAGCACCTGGGTGGGTCATGGAGATCAGGTACAGATGAGACCATTGAGGTGGGTCATGGAGCTCAGCCGCCAGGTGACACCACCTGGGTGGGTCAAACTGAGCTACCAGATGAAGCCACCACAGCACAGCCTCTCTTCAGTCATACCTGTGGGGGATCAAAAACTGGCAGAGATGGTGGCCCCAGGGACGTGGTCAACCCAGAATGTTGACGGGGTGACCACAGGGACATGGGTGACCCAAGACATTGACTGCATGGCCACAAGAACAAACATGACCCAGAACATTCGTTGGGCGACCAAAGGGACGTGGGTGACCCAGAACATTGACCTGGTGGCAAGAGGGATAGGGGAAGTCTCTGGGAAGGGAAACTGAGGCCCAGGAGTTCTGGCTGGGCTCTGGTCCAGTGTCCATCCCTGTCGCTGTTCCCCAGACAGAGGAGGACAAGAAGAACCTGCTGAGGCTGCAGGACCTGGTGGACAAGCTGCAGATGAAAGTCAAGGCCTACAAGAGACAGGCGGAGGAGGCGGTGGGTGAATGGGACAGAGGGATGGATGGATGGATGGAGGGATGGAGGGATGGATGATGGATGGACGGATGGATGGATGGATGATGGAGGGATGATGGATGATGGAGGGATGATGGATGATGGAGGGATGATGGATGATGGAGGGATGATGGATGATGGAGGGATGATGGATGATGGAGGGATGATGGATGATGGAGGGATGATGGATGATGGAGGGATGATGGATGATGGAGGGATGATGGATGATGGAGGGATGATGGATGATGGAGGGATGATGGATGATGGAGGGATGATGGATGATGGAGGGATGATGGATGATGGAGGGATGATGGATGATGGAGGGATGATGGATGATGGAGGGATGATGGATGATGGAGGGATGATGGATGATGGAGGGATGATGGATGATGGAGGGATGATGGATGATGGAGGGATGATGGATGATGGAGGGATGATGGATGATGGAGGGATGATGGATGATGGAGGGATGATGGATGATGGAGGGATGATGGATGATGGAGGGATGATGGATGATGGAGGGATGATGGATGATGGAGGGATGATGGATGATGGAGGGATGATGGATGATGGAGGGATGATGGATGATGGAGGGATGATGGATGATGGAGGGATGATGGATGATGGAGGGATGATGGATGATGGAGGGATGATGGATGATGGAGGGATGATGGATGATGGAGGGATGATGGATGATGGAGGGATGATGGATGATGGAGGGATGATGGATGATGGAGGGATGATGGATGATGGAGGGATGATGGATGATGGAGGGATGATGGATGATGGAGGGATGATGGATGATGGAGGGATGATGGATGATGGAGGGATGATGGATGATGGAGGGATGATGGATGATGGAGGGATGATGGATGATGGAGGGATGATGGATGATGGAGGGATGATGGATGATGGAGGGATGATGGATGATGGAGGGATGATGGATGATGGAGGGATGATGGATGATGGAGGGATGATGGATGATGGAGGGATGATGGATGATGGAGGGATGATGGATGATGGAGGGATGATGGATGATGGAGGGATGATGGATGATGGAGGGATGATGGATGATGGAGGGATGATGGATGATGGAGGGATGATGGATGATGGAGGGATGATGGATGATGGAGGGATGATGGATGATGGAGGGATGATGGATGATGGAGGGATGATGGATGATGGAGGGATGATGGATGATGGAGGGATGATGGATGATGGAGGGATGATGGATGATGGAGGGATGATGGATGATGGAGGGATGATGGATGATGGAGGGATGATGGATGATGGAGGGATGATGGATGGATGGAGGGATGGAAGAGAAGGATGGATAGACAGACTCTTGAAGCCATCTCAGCTGTGGGGGTGGCAGGAGGATGTCGTTTCCCAGAACCAACCCCCCCGACCCCCTGTCCCCCAGGAGGAACAGGCCAACACCAACCTGGCCAAGTTCCGGAAGGCGCAGCACGAGCTGGACGAGGCCGAGGAACGCGCGGACATCGCCGAGTCCCAGGTCAACAAACTGCGGGCCAAGAGCCGCGACATCGGAGCCAAGGTGGGACCCCCTGTCACCCTCTGTCACCCCCCACAGCTGCCCCACAACCCCCCCGGACCTTCTGTCTTCTCTCCCACCGCGCTCCAGAAGCTGCACGACGAGGAGTGACCCATCCCTCTGAAGGACCTGCCATGAGTGACCCACCACCATGAGTGACTCCACTGCCACCACGAGGGACACACCACCATGAAGGTCCCATCATGACAATGACTGACCAACCACGATGATGAGGGACCCACCATCGCCATGAGGGGTCCATCACCCCACGTTGAGGGACAGACCGCCACAGTGGACTCCCCACCGTGATAAGAGACGTGTGACCACCATGATGAGTGACCTGCCCCTGTGATGAGGGACCTGCCACCACCGTGAGGGACCCACCTTGATGACACCATGAAGGACCCCCCACACCACAACAGGGGACCCCCCCACCATGATACAAGTCACTCACCACCTCCGAGATGAACCCACAATGATGATGAGATGGACCCACCACCACCATGATGGACCCATGATGATGATGATGGACCCCTCCACCATGAGTGACTCCAAACCCCACAGTGGACCCTCTCCCCACCAGTGACACCCCCTACCCCCTGTCCAAGACGAGGGGACCCCAATGCCATAATTAATTAATTAATGAGCCATAGAAGGGACACAATGTCCCCTCGGCCACCCTGCCCCACCCCACGCCAAAAACACGACCCTGAGCAGCACCAGCTGTGGGACAAGGTTTAATTTTTGGGGTGGGGGATGGTGGACTGGACCCAGAGGACGATGAGACAGTGGTGGGGGGCGGTGACCATCAGCTGCCCTCCATGTCAGGATCTGGAGGAGGAACAGTTGGACATGGTGGAGAAGAATGGTCCAGGTGTCCCCCAACCCCACCCCAGGGTGTCCCAGGTGCCCCCAGCCCCACCCAAGGGTGTCCCCAGTGTCCCCAATCCACCCCAGGGTGTCCCAGGTGTCCCCAACTCCACCCAAAAGTGTCCCCGGTGTCCCCAAACCCCACCCATGGACATCCCAGGTGTTCCCAATCCCACCCATGGTGTCCCAGGTGTCCCCCAACTCCACCCAAAAGTGTCCCAGGTGTCCCCAGTCCCACCCACAGGTGTCCCAGGTGTCCCCAACCCCACTTCAGGGTGTCCCAGGTGTCCCCAAACCCCACCCATGGACATCCCAGGTGTCCCCAACTCCACCCAAAAGTGTCCCAGGTGTCCCCCAACTCCACCCAAAAGTGTCCCAGGTGCCCCTAGCCCCACCTCAGGTTGTCCCAGGTGCCCCCAACTCCACCCAAAAGTGTCCCAGGTGCCCCCAGCCCCACCCCAGGGTGTCCCCAGTGTCCCCAATCCACCCCAGGGTGTCCCAGGTGTCCCCCAGCTCCACCCAAAGGTGTCCCAGGTGTCCCCAACTCCACCCAAAAGTGTCCCACTGTCCCCAACCCCACCCCAGCATGTCCCAGGTGTCCCCAAACCCCACCCATGGACATCCCAGGTGTCCCCAACTCCACCCAAGGGTGTCCCAGGTGTCCTCAACTCCACCCAAAAGTGTCCCAGCTGTCCCCAACCCCACCCACAGATGTCCCAGGTGTCCCCAGCTCCACCCACAGGCGTCCCAGGTGTCCCCAGTGCCCCTCACCCTGTCCCGGGGCCACCCGCGTGCGGAAGGTGACGAAGGTGTCGAAGGCGAAGACCAAGGCGAGGACGAGGCTGAAGGTCTGGGGGGAGGAGAAAGGGGCGTGGCCCGGTCAGTCAGGGGCGGGGCTCAATGAGGGGGCGGGGTTTGGGGACACTCACGAAGGTGGTGGCAGCCAGGGCGTCACGGGACGAGGCCAAGGCCACCAGGGCTGCCACGAGGAAGATGAGGGTCCCACTGATGGCCCGGAGCAGGTCCTGGGGGGACAGCGGGGGGACACCGTGGGGACAGGGGGGACACCGGGGGGATGGGAGTGGGGCCAATGGGGGTGGGGACACCTTGGGGACATGGAGGGGTAGCAGCAGGACACCTTGGGGACAGCAGAGGGGTAGCAGCAGGACACCTTGGGGACAGCAGAGGGATGGGGGTGGTGACAATGGGGGACACCATGGGGACATGAGATGGACAAGGAGGGGTAGCAGCAGGGCAATTTGGGGACATGGGGGGACACCAAGGGGATGGGGGTGGTGACAATGGGGACACCATGGGGACACCAGGTGGACACAGAGGGATAGCAGCAGGACACCTTGGGGACACCAGAGGGATGGGGGTGGTGACAATGGGGGACACCATGGGGACACCAGGTGAACATGAAGGGGTAGCAGCAGGACAATTTGGGGACACCATGGGGATGGGAGTGGTGACAATGGGGACACCTTGGGGACACATGGGGGGACAGCAGAGGGATGGGAGTGGTGACAATGGGGGACACCATGGGGACACCTTGGGGACATGGAGGGGTAGAAGCAGGACACTGTGGGGACATGGGGGGACACCAGGGGGATGGGAGTGGTGACAATGGGGGACATCATGGGGACACCAGGTGGACATGAAGGGGTAGCAGCAGGACAATTTGGGGACACCATGGGGATGGGAGTGGTGACAATGGGGTACCATGGGGACACCTTGGGGACATGGAGAGGTAGCAGCAGGACACCTTGGGGACACCAGAGAGATGGAGGTGGTGACAATGGGGGACACCATGGGGGGGGGTTCACCAGGTGAACATGGATGGATAACAGCAGGACACCTTGGGGACATGGGGGACAGCAGAGGGATGGGGGTGGGGCCAATGGGGGACACCATGGGGACACCTTGGGGACATGGATGGGTAGCAGCAGGACACCTTGGGGGCACAAGGGACACCAGGGGAATGGGAGTGGTGACAATGGGGCCACCATGGGGACACCTTGGGGACACTGCTGTGGGNGGGGGACATGGAGGGGTAGCAGCAGGACACCTTGGGGGCACAAGGGACACCAGGGGAATGGGAGTGGTGACAATGGGGCCACCATGGGGACACCTTGGGGACATGGATGGGTAGCAGCAGGACACCGTGGGGACATGGGGGGACACCAGAGGGATGGGAGTGGTGACAATGGGGGACACCGTGGGAACATGAGATGGACATGGATAGTAGCAGCAGGACACCTTGGGGACATGGGGGGACACCAGGAGGACACTATGAGGACAATGGGGACACCATGGGGACACCAGGTGGACATGGAGGGGTAGCAGCAGGACACCTTGGGGACATGGGGGGACACCAGGGGGATGGGGGTGGTGACAATGGGGACACCATGGGGACACCAGGTGAGCACGGAGAGATAGCAGCAGGACACCTTGGGGACAGGGACACCAGGGGAATGGGAGTGGTGACAATGGGGCCACCATGGGGACACCTTGGGGACATGGATGGGTAGCAGCAGGACACCGTGGGGACATGGGGGGACACCAGAGGGATGGGAGTGGTGACAATGGGGGACACCGTGGGGACACCTTGGGGACATGGAGGGGGAGCAGCGGGACACCTTGGGGACATGGGGGACACCATGGGGATGGGAGTGGTGACAATGGGGACACCTTGGGGACATGAGATGGACATGGATAGTAGCAGCAGGACAATTTGGGGACACCATGGGGATGGGAGTGGTGACAATGGGGACACCATGGGGACATGAGATGGACATGGAGGGGTAGCAGCAGGACACCTTGGGGACATGGGGGACAGCAGAGGGATGGGGGTGGGGCCAATGGGGGACACCATGGGGACACCTTGGGGACATGGAGGGGTAGCAGCAGGACACCTTGGGGGCACAAGGGACACCAGGGGAATGGGAGTGGTGACAATGGGGCCACCATGGGGACACCTTGGGGACATGGATGGGTAGCAGCAGGACACCGTGGGGACATGGGGGGACACCAGAGGGATGGGAGTGGTGACAATGGGGGACACCGTGGGGACACCTTGGGGACATGGAGGGGGAGCAGCGGGACACCTTGGGGACATGGGGGACACCATGGGGATGGGAGTGGTGACAATGGGGACACCTTGGGGACATGAGATGGACATGGATAGTAGCAGCAGGACAATTTGGGGACACCAGAGGGATGGGAGTGGTGACAATGGGGGACACCATGGGGGGGGGTTCACCAGGTGAACATGGATGGTAGCAGCAGGACACCTTGGGGACATGGGGGACACCAAGGGGATGGGAGTGGGGACAATGGGGGACACCATGGGGACATGAGATGGACAAGGAGGGGTAGCAGCAGGACAATTTGGGGACATGGGGGGACACCAGGGGGATAGGAGTGGTGACAATGGGGACACCATGGGGACATGAGATGGACATGGAGGGGTCGCAGCAGGACAATTTGGGGACACCAGAGGGATGGGAGTGGTGACAGTGGGGGACACCATGGGGACACCAGCTGGACATGGAGGGATAACAGCAGGACACCTTGGGGACAGGGGGGACACCAGGGGGATGGGGGTGGTGACAATGGGGACACCATGGGGACACCAGGTGAGCACGGAGAGATAGCAGCAGGACACCTTGGGGACATGGATGGTAGCAGCAGGACACCTTGGGGACACCAGAGAGATGGAGGTGGTGACAATGGGGGACACCATGGGAACATGAGATGGACATGGAGGGGTAGCAGCAGGACACCTTGGGGACATGGGGGGACACCAGGGGGATGGGGGGGGTGACAATGGGGGACACCATGGGAACATGAGATGGACATGGATAGTAGCAGCAGGACACCTTGGGGACATGGGGGGACACCAGGAGGACACTATGAGGACATGAAGGGCACACCCAATACCATGGGAATGCGGGGTGGTGACAAAGGCACACACCACGGGGGTGACATGAAGGGACACCATGAGGACGTGGAGGGGACACCATGGAGGACACCCTGAGGATGACATGGTGACACGGAGTGACACCCTGGGGACATGTAGGGGCACACCATGGGGTGACACCAGGGCAGGGGACACCGAGGGGATGCGGCGTGAGGGGACACCGAGGCACCAAGGAGTGACACCCTGGGGGACATCAGGAGAGGGTGGACACACAGGGGACACGGCGGGGACAACGCCGCCCCCCAGTGCCCCCCCAGTGTCCCCAATCTCCCCAGTATCCCATCCCAGTGTCCCCAGCATCCCCAGTTTCACGTCCCAGTGTCCCCAGCATCCCCACTATCCCATCCCAGTTCCTCCAGTATACCCAGGTATCCTGTACCAGTTTCCCCAGTTTCCTGTCCCAGTATCCCCAGTATCCCCTCCCAGTGCTCCCAGTATCCCCAGTATTCCCTCCCAGTGCTCCCAGTATCCCCAGTTTCCCGTACCAGCTCCCCCAGTATCCCCAGTATCCCCAGTATCCCATCCCAGTTCCCCCAGTATGCCCTCCCAGTGCTCCCAGTATCCCCAGTTTCCTGTCCCAGTTTCCCCTCCCAGTTCCCCCAGTATCCCCTCCCAGCTCCCCAGTATCCCCAGTATCCCCTCCCAGTGCTCCCAGTATCCCCAGTTTCCCGTACCAGTTTCCCCAGTATCCCCTCCTAGCTCCCCCACTATCCCCAGTTTCCCCTCCCAGTTCCCCCAG